ATTAATGCAGAACACCATGAAATTCCAAAAGGTTCACATACTTTTTCTTGCAACTGTATTTCAAAATGGGAAAAGGACAGATGCAAAAACCTAAAGTCTTAAACTGAAGATACTTATGGGAATGCTGAGAAATTGTGTGCTTCTTATTCAGGGAAATTTTAATTATGAGGATGGAAAAGTGCATATTTTTCTGTTGCTTCTATGATGCAACTATATAAAGCAGGGTCTGGCTCACAAATGATCCTGTTACCTCAGAAACATAGTATTTTCATCTTCACTTATTTAATATTTTAACACACATTATTTGTAATGATTACCAAAAAGAGCCTAAGCTGCATGTCTTAAATCATTTTTACAGTGAAGAAAAACTTACCCTCAACTGCGCTAGCTGTATTACATTCTTCAAATTCAATCAATCCTGAAAGCAAGAAAACATGTTATTCTTTAATTAACTCTTTATGTTATGCAGCAATATATTATTGCTTGTCCTATGGTGCAACTTAGCATAATGATATTCATGTAGCTATCTTGGGGACAGAGTTCTTGTTGTGGGAAGGATATCTTTAAAGATCAAAAGTAACATTCATGTGTGTGCACAGCCCCCACCAACTCTTGTGTCAAGGCTACAGAGGAATCCAAAATCTGGGGCAAATCTCAGAGACAGTCTGAGCCAGATTTTGGTAATACATGCCTGTATGTTTATCCACTACCAGATCATGCATACATGAGAACTTGTTCACAGACCTGGCATTTTACCATCAAGAACCTAAGGCCAAGTTCACCAGTGATCCTTCTACTAGGATTTGGAATAAGGCCACTGGATGTGAAGTGATGAAATGCTGACAACCCCCCACTTCCTTTTCTACCAGGCCCGAAACAGGAATGAAAAAAAAAAAGACCTTTTTTCCTGCTTGTATTTATGAGAAGCCCCAGAATTCACTGAATTCTGCCGAAAAGTATAATCAGATCACTCCACAATTAATACATTTATAACAATAACTGCTGACATATTATACATTAACATGTAAAAGAATATTATACACTGTATTTAAACTTTTTTAAAGATTGCTAGGCTATTGACAAGGGTCACTGATTACACAACTCCATACAGATTTAAAAAGGTAGATACCCTTCAAATTGAGCTTGATTCCTGGTGACTACATAGACAGATCAATGTTGTTTTTTCATTAATAATATGACATGGCCTTCTTCTAGGATGTTTTTCCTACTTCCCAGTCTGGTCTACAGCCCTGGGATTTCTTGGTAGTCTTCCATTCAAGTATTAACCCAACTTTACTTTGCTTCCCAGCACAGACAACGTTAGCCACATGCTGCCACCTACTGAGTGCTCAGACAGATTTTTTTTTTTTTGGTCTGGGCTAATTATTTTCTACCCCTGAATGGACTCCTTGGAGGGGTCTTTGCAGTTTTTATGC